CACCTCTGAGGAGTCAGTGTGCATCAGAACTTCCTCCCTGGGCTGGCACCAGAGAGGCAGAAAGAAGTTCAAAGTGAGAGATGTCCTATTTGCATTTTGATTGTAACCATTGATGAATGTGCATTTTTTAATTTCTGTGGGAATACATTAAGAAAGTGAATGCAAACATGCTTTCTTTATAATATTTTTATAATACCAATGTGGTCATGAATTCTCTTAGAACAATTCTTTTAGAAACAGAACACACAGAACACGTTGCTGTGGGTGTCAGTGTAGGGCAGGAAGGGAATGCAGCATCTTAATTGCAACTTGGCGAAAACTTGTATTTAGAGGCCTGTTGCTATTTTTGTCTTTTACAAAAGTGTTGTTTCCAAGAAAATCAATTACAGTTTTTCCTAAAAGACTGAGTTGATGTAGTATATTCTTGGTTATTAAAATCCTCATACATCTTTGGCATTTGGAATTGGTAAATATTCTTGAAATGTCAAAAAGCATGATGGGTACATTCTGTATCTCAGTCACATAAATGTGGGTGTTGTGTGTGCATGCACGGGACCCAAAAGGACATGTTAAACTCAACTGCTTGTGATTGCAGATGACTTTTTTCTTTGTGTCTTGTGTTTTTAAGTTTCCTGTAAAGCACTTATTAGCTTTGAGAAAAGAAAAGATTTTTTTAAAACTTTTATTTGTAAATATAATTTCCAAAGTACAGTTTATGGATTATAATGGCTTCCTCCCCATAATTTCCATCCCACCCACACCCCTCCCATCTCCCGCTCCCTCTCCAATTCCATTCACATCAAGATTCATTTTCAATTATCTTTATATACAGAAGATCAATTTAGTATGTATTAAATAAAGATTTCATCAGTTTGCACCCACACAGAACATAAAGTATAAAATACTGTTTGAGAAAAGATATTTTAAACAAGCAAACAAACAAGAGCTTGTTGCGAGAAGGCCCTTTCATGGTTAAGAGCATGCCCAGAACCACAGACGGAAAACTGCTGCTGGGGAGGGGCTCAGGGAAGCCTCTGGAGAATGCATAAAGTATAGACAAATAGGGCGAACTTCAGAAAGGAAGGGTGAGGAAGAGGAGCTGCAAGCCAAGGAAGCAGGAGCCCCTGCACTTTGAAACAGCACATCTGAGTGTGCAGACTCACAGGATTCTGTGTGTGTACACAGAGATCCCCAGGAGTAAGCTTTGGATGTCTGGAGCAATTCCATTAGAGGAAGGACGATACCAAGCCCCATCTCCAAACGGAAAAGAAGCCAGCAACCCAGGACTCAAGCCAAGACTTATGCATATGGCTGAAATTGTATTTCAGAGCTTTGATTCTTGTGGGGGAGAGATGATCACACAGGATATCTATCCCCATAGAAAGATGACCAGGTCAGTATATAAGTGTGTGTGTGTGTGTGTGTGTGTGTGTGTATATATATATATTTTTTAGGGCACTTGAGAACGTTTTGGAAAGCAGCATTAAAAGACAGGTTCATGTGACCAAGGCTGTGGCGTAGCAGGTACAGCTACAGCTTGTGATGCTTGCTTGCCATGTGGGCATTGGTTCGAGACCTGGCTGCTCCACTTGCCATCCAGTTCCCTGCTGATGCCCATGTGGGAGACCCAGAAGAAGCTCCTGGCTTCAGATTTGCCCATGTCCAGCCATTGTGGCCATCTGGGGAGGCCACTCACTCTGCCTTTAAATATATAAATGAATCTTTAAAAAAATGGGTAAGTTCATTTTGGTGCCAAGAAATATCCATGCATAAATATGGTCTTAACAATGTTCTTGAACATGAATATTATGACAAAAAACTCTGCATACATTTCAGTATTTTTCTGGCAAAATAAGCTTATATTTTACTTTTATTACTTTCTGCAAGCTTCTTGAAGTACCCTGGTATCTAAAGTGCATTTAAAAAGTTAGAGAGAATGCTCACTTTAGCAGCACATCTGCTAAAACTGGACAATACAGAGAAGATTAGCATGGCCCGTGCCCAAGGATGACATGCAAATTTGTGAAACGTTCCATAGTTTTGAAACGGACATTATGAGACGCAATTACTTAAACAGCCCTTATCTTGACTTTTGTTTAACAGTTAATTATTTCATTTTATTTACTTATTTTTTGTTCTATTTTTTCTCTGCTTAATACCATTGGTTGAACTCCTTACTTAACGTATAATTAATCATAGATTGAAAATAGATCCCAGTTATAAACAGTGTAGGAAAGAAAGGGTGAGGAGCCATACAGATCCTCACACATTCCCACAGACTTACCCTAAGGGTGAAGCTAAAAACTTGCCATGGGGCTCCAAATTCCTGGCACTAATCCCATCTTATGGGATAAAGTGATCATATTAAGTATGGGATTGGTCATATAGTTAGACCCTAAGTCAAAGGGATCACATAAATAAGACCAAGTGCCTGGTAATAACAATAGATAGAATTACAAAGGAGAGAAAGTTCCAACATGGGAAGCAGTGCACACAGCAGACTCATAGAATGACAAACACCCTAAACAGCACTCTGACCTCAGAATCAGCCCCTAAGGCATTCAGGTCTGACTGAAAATACTATGAGAGCATTTCAGGCATGGAAAGCCAAGACATAGTGGCAAACACGGTTCTTCATCAAAGATCTCTGTGAGTGAGACCCCAGTGGAAAGAAAGGGCCATCAAAGAAGGATGTACTTTCCTCTGAAGGGAGGAGAGAACTTCCACTCTGCATAGGGTCTTGTCTAAAAATGGATGGAGTTTGTGGACTCAGAAGACTTCCATAGCCTTTACAGCTCATGGTGAGCCTTGGGTGATCACTGACGTCATAAATAAGAGTGTCATTTGTTAAATCAACAACACTTGCTCCCCGTGTTGGACTCTGTCCTTAATGAGGTGTACTTTGAGAATCAATGGTAAAACTTGTCTTCAAACTGTTCTTGATACTTTGTGTGTCCATGTGGGTGCATATAATTGAAATCTCTACTTAGTATAGAGTTGGTCTTCAGTATATAAAGTCAATTAAAAATGAAGCTTAATGGAAAAAGGAATGGGAGAGGGGGTGGGAGGTGGGAATGGGGGGAAGAAACACTATATCCCTAAAATCTGTACGTACGAAATTCGTATTCATTAAATAAAAACCTTCAACATAGTCTGACAAAGAAAACATAAATGTACATATCAAAAAGGTAAGACAGGACCAGCTCTGTGGCATAGTAGACTAAGCCTCAGCCTGCAGTGCTGGCATTTCATATGGGCACTGGTTCTAGTCCCAGTTGCTCCTCTTCTGATACAGCTCTCTGCTATTGCCTGTGAAGGCCGTGGAAGACACTGCAAGTGCTTGACCCCTGCCCCCATGTGAGAGACCGGGAGGAAGCTCCAGGCTCCTGGAGTTGGATCAGCCCAGCTCTGGCCATTGCAGCCATGTGGGGAGTAAGCTAGTGGATGGAAAATCTCTCTCTCTAAATCTTTCTCTCTCTCTTTCTCTCTCTCTCTGTCTCTCTCGCTCTCCTGTCTATAACTCTGCCTCTTGTATAAATAAATAATATCTTCAAAAATAAGAAAGAAGGCAGTGTTTTCAAAGAAATGAAATTCAAGCTAGAAAAATTTAATAGAAAACTGAAAATATCACAGTGGTATTATAACATCTGAACATGTACATATTAGTTAAAACTGCATCGAATATAGAAAACAAACTATCAAAATCGACTGAGAAAGGGATTCATGGGATTCAGCATTGGAGCTGTCCACATCAGTTAGGGACCGAGCAAAGTTGTAGCCAATGAAGACACAGAGAATGGAAGTAGGAATAAAGGTAATTTAATTCCCTTTTGTTACAGGAAACACTTGAAAATATAAATCACTTAGCAAAATCAAATAGAATCTCCACAAACTTGTATATCCAAAGCACTTCTCACTCTCCATATCAATCTACAATGATACAAAAAATGAATGTGAAAAAAAACTTGCAAAATATTACAAGATTTTTAAAAATACTTGTATGAAACTTATGAATCAAATGAGAAATAAAATTTTAAATATCGGTCATTAGAATACTCTATTGAAATTGAGTTAATCATAGATTGTTTATAAATGTACAGACAAAATAAATAATCAACAAATTTCCATACTTTATAGCTAAGGATGTTAAGAATAAAACATTATGCAATTTGGGAGGAAACCAGGAGAAAGGAAATAACAATGGATGAGATTCTCTGTAGTCACTCTATTGTGCAACAGAAACCAGCACTTACACCTCCCCAGCTACAATTGAGTACCCAGGAATCAACCCATCTCCATCCCTCCCTGCCTCTTTCCTGCTCAGCCTCTGTACATCATCCTTATATTTTTAGCTTTTGCATGGTCATGCATTTTTCAGCCGTCACATATGAGTGAAATCATGCAACACTTGCCTTTCTAAGTCTAGTTTACTTCACAGGAAATAATGACCACATCCATGCACGCTGATACCTATGACAAGATTTCCAGGCCGGCACCACGGCTCACTAGGCTAATCCTCTGCGTCATGGGCACTCCGGTTCTAGTCCCGGTTGGGGTGCTAGGTTCTGTCCTGGTTGTTCCTCTTCCGGTCCAGCTCTCTGCTCTGGTCCAGAAAGGCAGTGGAGGATGGCCCAAATCATTGGGCCCTGCACTCGCATGGGAGACCAGGAGGAAGCACCTGGCTCCTGGCTTCGGATTGGCACAGTGCGCCGGCCATAGTGGCCATTTGGAGGGTGAACCAATGGTAAAGGAAGACCTTTCTCTCTGTCTCTCTCTCTCTCATTATCTAACTGCCTGTCAAAAAAAATTTTCCCCTGTTTGTAATGGATGAGTAGCATCTCATGGGTACCCCATTTGCTTTGTCTGTTATAAAACACACAGACATATTGGAACATCACATGGTATACCATAAGTATGCATGATTTTATGTGTGCATTCAAAGATCTTTCAGTGAAGGGATGTATAATTTTTTTAACCATCTATTAATTTGGTGATCCTAGAGGCAAATCTCATCAAGAAGAAAGAAAAGCCATATATAAAAAAGGCAGTAACTGTGGCTGGACCTGTGGTTTAAGCCTCTGCATGTGGAAGAAAAGTGCTCCTTCATGGGTAAGCGCAGTGAGAAGTGACACTGACTGCGCAGGTGGCTCTCAGAGCAAATGCCAGTGTGGGAAAAAGAGTGTGGAATGCCTGTGAAGTTACTCATATTCTAGAAGCTGCAGCTTGCAGGGGATGTGTTGCTGTCCATGGCCTTGGCTATGTCGGGGGCAGGTGTCAGGTGACAGGTGGCAGCTGAAGGCCCTTGACTCAGGACCATTGATGAGCTCCAGTGCATCTCAGTGCTCTGGGCAGCAGCAGACAGCTGTGAGTGTGGCCCATGAGTGACCCCCGTGTAACCCATCCCAGCTGTGACATTGTATTGCTGCTGTACCATGGGCCACTCTGTCCCAACATCCTGGCCAGCCTGAGTGGTTCCCAGCGGCCCCTGAGGGAAGGGTGCTCAACCCCAGTGCAGGATCTCTGTGGCCTCCAGGCGAGGCTGCAGGTCGAGAGCATCCCAGGATCAGACAGGCTCAGTGGTGCTCAGGAGGACAGGAGAGGGCATCTGCCTGGGGATGCTGCCTGTACAGTTCATGCAGGCTGGAAGTTCAAGGTGCTGAGGGAGGGCAAGGGATCTGAGCTCTGGTGTGCAAGTGCATGGCTTCCAGGATGCTGAGACGGGTGTGTGTGTGGTGTGTGTGTGTGACTGTTTCTTCACTTGTAACAAAGTTTACAATGTCAAAAAGAAAATTTTTAAATAGAAAAAATGAAATAACAAAAATTTTAATACAGTTGTGTCTGTTTTAAGCTAAGAGTTACTAGAAGAATCAAATGTCTTTAAAAATTAGAAAGTTCAGAATGTAAAGAAGTTGCAATAAGCTGTTATTTATTTATTTATATTTTGACAGGCAGAGTTAGACAGTGAGAGAGAGAGGGAGAGAGACAGGTCTTCCTTCCATTGGTTCACCCCTCAAATGCCCACTACGGCTGGCGCATTGCGCCGATCCAAAGCCAGGAGCCAGGTGCTTCCTCCTGGTCTCCCATGCGGGTGCAGGGCCCAAGCACTTGGGCCATCCTCCACTGCCTTCCCGAACCAGAGCAGAGAGCTGGACTGAAAGAGGAGCATCCGGGACAGAATCTGGTGCCCCAACCGGGACTAGAACCTGGAGTGCCGGTGCCACAGGTGGAGGATTAGCCTAGTAGGCCGCGGCACTGGCTGTTACTTTATTATTATTGTTATTATCATTAGTCATCATCCCTCAGAACTAATCAACCACCCACTGGAAGAACTGAGTGTGTTTGTCTCTATTTTAAAAACACTTTTATTTTAAAACAATTTAACAGGCATACACAATTTGTACAAATCTATGGAGTACTATATGTTTATTTATTATTGAAGAACAAATGTTGAGCTCATTCAGTGTGGCCTGAGTGTGCAGTGTGAAGAAGAGTAGAGTAGTGTACTTTGGTGCTGAGAACTTCAAGCTCACTCCTCACTCACTGGCTCACAGAAAGCAGCTTAAAACCTTGCAAGCTCCAATCACAGTAGGTGCCCTGTGCAGGTGCTATGTTTGTATCCTATCTGTATGGGGCCTGTCTATGTTTAGATGCACAAATACCTACCGTGTTTGACAACTGCCTGCAGTGCTGGGTATAGCAATGTGCTGTCCAGGTAACCTGTGCAGTGCCACATCACCTAGGTTTGTGTTTGTAGACTCTATGATGTGGGAACGGCAGTAAAATCACCTACCGAGGCATTTCTCGGAACATGCCGTACTCTTTATGTGGTGAAACTGTACTCATGTATTTCTTACTGAGTCATAGCGTCACACTGTCCATTCATCTGTTCCCAGCCCTCCTTGGGTGACTTACATGACCGTGTGGCCTCACAGAGGTGTTCAGCTGTGTAAAGGGCAGGAGGCGTCTGTCAGCTGGATACCAGGCTCCGATGGACTTGTTGTTGGGTACGGTATTTTTATATATCACTTGCATCCTCTGCATTGATTATATTATTCATATCTGCGACATTCTTCCTGATATTTTGCCTTGCTGTCCTACCACTTGCTGAAGGTGAGACTGTTGAAGACAGAAACTGTAACTGTACATTTGTCTATTCAGCTCAAGCAGTTTTGATCCATGTATTTGCAAAATGTTACTTGATGGGTTAATAGTTAGATTTGTTTGTTGTTCTTGATGGATTTGATCTGCTTATCATTATAGATGTCCTTCTTCATTTCTAATTATGCCTCTTCCCAAAGTAATTTTATCCAATATTATTGTTGCCATCACTCTTTTTAAAAATTACTGGATTGTATTTTTCCCACTAAGTACTTTAAATCTACCAATGTAGTTGTTAGAAAGTAAGTTTTGTGTGTCTGTAGTTGGATATTTTTACATCTACTCTGCCAATCCCTTTTAATTGGCATTTAGATTATTTCTATTTATGGTGATTATTGACACATTTTTTGTTCTTTCTTCTTGAAAAACTGCCATTAAAGATAAGCTTACTAGTGAAAAGTTTTATTTTACTTTTCCTTCACCTTAGAATGTTTTTCTTTTTCCTAAGTGGTGAACTCTGCATTGACCTCAAGGTTAATTCATAGTAATTCTACATAAAAGAAAGACAGCAGATAAATCCAAACAATGAACATGGTTGTAAACCAGATCAGAACTATACAGACATGCCCCTGTACAAAGGCAGATTTCTGATGTGTTGATCCCCATCTCTTTTCCCCGAGGATAACTCATGAATACTGACACCAGAAGCCTCTGATTGCGTGTGTGTGAGACCTTGGTCTCCAGCGCCCTTGCACAAATGTCACACCCCTGGACATGAGTTGGCTGGCTTCCAGGTACCAAGCTCTACTAAATTTCAAGGAGGAATGGAGATCCCACCCTGTAAGATGCATTGGAATTCCCATGACCACTTCCTCATCCAGGCTCAGGGGTTTAGAGGAAAATCAGCAAACATCAAGGCAGGTGCAGCTCTACCCTCCGATGCCTATGGCTGGGGTGGGGCAGCAGTGCTCTAGAGAACTCTGTGTAACGTTGATGAGACTGGGAGTACTCTCTAAAAGCAACTTTCCCACCTTCACTCAGGCAGAGGGGCGGCACCTGGCGACGGCAGGCGGTACTGCGCAGCCCTTTGGTATCCCGTCTGCTGCTATGGCGCCAGCTGGGGAACCCGGGCCCTTGGGACCCCACTTCCTCTCGGTGATGGGGAACATGGGCCTCTACTGGGGCACCCTGGGGGGACACATCTGAGCGGCCTCGAGCATGGCAGACCCAGGAGCAGCACTGCAGACTTCATTAGACACGTACCCACATGCACACACAGATGCACACACACATACCACAACATATAAACACTTCGAAAGCCTACATGTGTTTGTTGATTGTATTGAATCAACTTAATCAATAAACTACCATTCTGAATACAGTCCGTCTTTAATTACCTTAGGGTCCCTAGATTCTTGCTGATCCAAAGCCAGGAGCTTCTTCCGGGTTTCCCACGTGGGTGTAGCGACCCAACGACTTGGGCCATCTTCTACTGCTTTCCCAGGTCATAGCAGAGAGCTGGATCAGAATGAGAGCAGCCAGGACTCGAACTGGTGCCCATATGGGATGCTGGCACTGCAGGCGCCAGCTTTACCCACTACACCACAGTGCCAACCCCGTTAACTAGGATTAAAATTAGTTGAGGAGGGGCTGGCTCTGTGGCGCAGTGGGTTAAAGCCACAGCCTGCAGTGCCGGCATCCCATATGGGCTCCGGTTCTAGTCCTGGCTGCTCCTCTTCTGATCCAGCTCTCTGCTGTGGCCTGGGATAGCAGTGGAAGATGGCCCAAGTCCTTGGGCCCCCGCACCCATGGGGGAGACCCAAAAGAAGCTCTTGGCTCCTGGCTTCGGACTGGCCCAGCTCTGGCTGTTGCGGCCATCTGAGGAGTGAACCAGTGGATGGAAGACCTCTCTATCTCTCTGTCTCTACCTCTCTCTGTAACTCTGTCTTTCAAATAAATAAAATAAATCTTAAAAAAATTGAGTTGAGGAGCAGTGAGTAGTTAAGACATCTGCATCCCACATCAGAGAGCCTACATTCAATTCCCACCTCCAGCTTCCTGCCAATGCAGTTCCTGGGAGGCAACAGTGATGACTCAAGTGGTTAGGTTCCTGCACCTATGTGATAAAGCTAGATTTTATTTCTGCCTCCTGGCTTCTGACTTCTGTGCCCTGCACTGCCCTGGCTGTTGCTGTCATTTTGGGAGTGAGTCAGTGAGTGGAAGCCTGTTCTCTCTCTCTTTGCCTCTTAAATACATAGGTTGAATCCTTTTCTTTAGGAGGTAGGGGTGTTATTTTTATTGATGTGAAGAATTTTTCTCATCCTGTCTCCAACTGCTTACTGATAATCAGACTCCAACAATCCAAATGACCTAAATATGTGTTATTAGCTAATCTATGTGGGTTAGGTGAGGGAGAAATAAAATTTGGATTCTTTTTCATCTTAAACTCTTACACTTTCCAGATGTCTGTTGAGAAGTACAGATAGAGTATCCCTAATCTGAAAATCTAAAATCCACAGTACTTCTACATGATGATCATCATGATGTTTTAGATTTTGGGACATTTGGATTTTGGATTTTTAGTTTAGGGTTACGCAGCTGTTAAAGTCTGAAAATATACGAAAAAATCTGAATAACTCAAATGTGAAACACTTTCTAAGCATACTGAATGAGATATAACTTAACCTGTGTTTGTATTCAAGATGCAAAAGATTTTTGGAACTTGCTTGCACAGTGTGAAAGTACTTAACACTACAGAAACTACATACACCTACAAATAATTAAGATGTGAATTTTATGTTATCTATATATGTCACTATAATGGTAAAACTATACTTAAATCATATATTCAGTTCTTCATTTTTGTAAATGCAGGATTCTGATATAGGATTATACTTCCAAAAAGGTCATGGAAATGCATATTATGACAAAACTATGCATGGTTCTCAATTTTTTGCATGAAAATGAATTTATTTTCAATTTCATTTTCTGTGAATTTTTAAGAGTGCTGTTGAAATTTCTCTAGAACTTTGTTCTCATTTGCTTGCACCATTTTTCTATTAGTCAAGAGTTTATGATATCTCATCCTTTTCCAAGTGCCCTTTAATTTTTAAAGTATACAGATTATCCCCCATTTAAAAATTTATAATTTATTTTTATTTATTTGAAAGAGAGTTATCCCTTATCCCCTCTTCTAGCTCATTCCTTAAAGGCCTGAAAGAGCCTGTGCTGGACCAGACTGAAACTAGGAGCCCAGAACTCTATCTTGGGTGGCAAGGACCTAACCACCAGAGCTGTCACCTTCTGCCTCCCAAAGGTGCATATTAGCAGGAGGCTGGGTTGAAAGCAGAGTGAGTATCGAACCAGGCACTTGTATATGGGTTGTGTGTGTCCCTAGCAGCTGCTTAACCACCGTGCCAATTGACTGCCCTGTAGCTCCCATCTTAGATGGTACTGGATTGATGTGAAAGTATATTTGGATTTTAGCTTCTTCAAGCTAAAGTATTTCATTAAATTTTCAATGTAGGATGCAATATGTGGTCATTGGATATTAAAATGGAATTGTTTAGCTTCAAATACCATCAATATAAAGTTTACTTAGGATTATATGTATTGCTTTTCTTTCTTTTTAAATAGGCTTTCAAGGATATGCTGTATTCAGCTCAGGACCAGGCACCTTCTGTGGAAGGCAAGATGAATTAACTCCTAAGTTTAGTCACAGAAAACCACTTTTTAAGGAAAGATATTTTAAACTGCACAGTATAAAACTGTTATGAATACCTGCCATATTATATGGCTCTTTCTTGCTTTTGATAATATATGTTACATGAGGGCTAGCACTGTGCCGTAGTAGATAATATGTATTACAATTATTATGTATATAAAGAATTTTTTAAAGATGTATTTATTTATTTGAAAGAGTAACACAGAGAGAGGAGAGGCAGAAAGAGAGAGAGAGAGAGGTCTTCCATCTGGTGATACTCTCCCCAATTGGCCACAACAGACTGAGCTGCGCCGATCCGAAGCCAGGAGCCAGGAGCTTCTTCCAGGGCTCCCATGTGGGTGCAGGGGACCAAGGACTTGGGCCATCTTCTGCTTTCCCAGGCCACAGCAGAGAGCTGGAAGGGAAGTGGAGCAGCTGGGACTAGAACCGGTGCCCATAGGGGATGCCGGTGCTTCAGGCCAGGACGTTAACCCACTGTGCCACAGCGCTGGCCCCAATTATTTTATATTTAAATTCATAGTTTTCCTTTGTCTAGCTTGCATTTATCCTATAATACATCTTTTATTATGTGTTACTGTCACTTGAAGACTGTGAATCACACATACTGATACAGTCAGATTTCTTTCTGCGACTTGCTTTCTTCCTCTGATGTATTTTTTTAAAGATTTATTTATTTATTTATTCAAAAGTCAGATTTTTTTTTTTGACAGGCAGAGTGGACAGTGAGAGAGAGAGACAGAGAGAAAGGTCTTCCTTCGCCGTTGGTTCACCCTCCAATGGCCGCCACGGCCGGCGTGCTGCGGCCGGCGCACCATGCTGATCCGATGGCAGGAGCCAGGTACTTATCTTAGTCTCCCATGGGATGCAGGGCCCAAGCACTTGG